TTCTACAGTTATGTCCTGTAACAACAAGGAAGCTTTAGAAACATTAGTGTTTGTAATAGTTTCAATAGTCTCTGCATGTCTCGCTTTTAATCTGTATTTCTATCCTTGTTTAACTTGACACACTCTTCCTTTGCATTATATGAAACTACAACTGTGTTCTCCATGTGTTATGCTTGTTGTTAAAGTTTCTGGTGAAATAAAGTTAGAGAGGAAAGCAGGCAGCTGTAACATCTCTTACGCGTGCTGCTTTAGTAACAGCTGAGATTAGAAAGCAGAACCTCTTTTTAAAATAAGGCCAGAAAATGCTGCACAAAGTTGCTTATCTGCTTCTTACATGTATATTATATGTACATTTGAATCCATGTTAGAGTAGAGCTGAGAGGGTTGGCAGCTGAGTCGCTGACGGGTTTCCAGCACGTTCACTGAACAGAAGAAGACGACAGGTTGGACTCCATCATCGCAGCAACACGCTCAGCACCCTCTGATGTGAATTTGTGATTGAGAGCTTCCATGGTGTCAGTGAAGGTTTGGTAGAGTTGAGGTGAGCATCAGCTATTGATCGGCCCTCCTCTAGGAGCAGGTGATCAACACTTGATACTTGAGCTCAGACGCGTCCTCAGGTAGAAGATCCCCCAATGACATCTTCAGCCTTCAACTCACTGGAGTACAGATTGAACCGCTGCTCAGGTGCCGCTGCGTTACAGTCATGCTCAGTCTTGCTGTCCCTATAGGCGGCGCGTGGCTGCTTGGACCCACCCAGTGGGAAATTACCTGAGTGAGGTGGAAGATGAACCGGCTTGAGCCAAAGAGGTGGATTATGGGAGGGTTTATCTGGTGACCTGAGAGCAGAGGGAGGATCTGGTGACAGACTCTGTCCTGGCTGGTCCACGAACATCAGTAGCTGGGATTGTCATTGGCTCTGTCTTAATGGCTGGAAACACAAATGCATCTTTATGATGGGGGTTCAACACTGGTGGGTCACTCGGCAGTGGGGCTTCCTCTGCTGGAGCTGGCCACGGTGGTGGAGAGAAGATGGGCCCTGCAGGCTCTGGACAGCTTCCACTAACTGTCTCATTTCTGCTCGCAGCGCCTGGAGTTCGACCAGATCTGATGACGTACGCGTCTCATGGAGGATAGCATCCCGCCTCCACTGGGGGCTTGCTAGGTTGTAGCTAAAGGGGATTCACTCTTTAGCACTACGGTCACCCCGGTGTGTCGGCCAGAACACCACTAAAGGCCAAGTTGTCCCAGAGTAAAGAAGGAGCTCGAGGTTTGAGGCACTTTATGCTCAAAGCTCAGTTCCTGTGGCTGTAACCACACGGTGTGATTTTTTATCATTCACGCACACATCACATCCCACAGGAGTCACTGCATCCCCACCAGACTAACACCGCTCGTCCGACACTAAAACTGCCCGCTAACTGGATGATGTCACCAGACGGTGGGCGGGCTCAAACTGACAGAAGATTGAATATTAAAGGAAGAGTAGATTTTATACACGGAGGCTGAACGAGGCTCAGACCACAGCTGTGCCTGCATGGAGTTCTTAAGGTGGACAGACTAGTTAGTGGTCACTCACTTCCACACTCCCACAGAGAGAGTGGAAGACAACAAGAGAGTGGCAGGTGGTCCACCTGTGTGCTGTCCCGGGGTTCATCTGAGACACAGCCTGTCAGGGAGTGTCGTCTGTGACCTGTCGGCCT